AGGGCCTGGTTGTTCTGTGTGACTCCTGTTGTGGGCTTTTGGCAGGAGCCCTGGCCTCCAGTTTGGAGGTTTCCAGGGTAGGTATGGGAGTTCCTGTCTTATGTTAATCACCCATTACCTGCTTTACCTGATTGGTAAAGCCACGTGCGGGAAAGGCAGTCCAGGGACCCTCATTGTTATGATGCTGGCTGTCCTCAAGCACTGAGAATCACTCCCACCCCCTGACCTGAGCAGATAAAGCAGAGAGTGCCCTACTCCATGCTGTCACAGCTTTCTGACCTTGGACAAGATGCTTATGGTCTTTAGGGAATGTCAGAACTGGAAAGGACCACAGCAGACCCTACCCTGTAAATTCCAGGGGTTATATGAAGAGATAAGGGCGTCACTGTGAGTCTGTGCCATTGACTACTGGGTCCAAGGCTTCCTGATGCCTAAACAGCACCCTCACTGCCCCAAATCTACTGCCCTTCCACCAGTATGCACAGAGCCCAGGCTCCAGCAGGCCAGCCTGTGTCACATGAGCCAAAGCCATCCCAAGATGCTGGAAGCAGAAGGGGCCAGACACGCAAGGTCACGTGTAAGGAGGGTACATCGGTGGCTTCCTAGTAAGGAAGCACCAATAGGAATGCACCTCTGTGACAAAATAAATGGCAGCAGGGGAATCTGAGAACCGAGAACAGACTAGAACACAGCCTCTATGGATGCTGGCCTACAAATCAGAGCCTGATGATTAGACAGGGTTGTCCCAAACTGTACCCCATTAACCCAAGTGGATGCCTTACCCAAATTTAACAGAGCAGGCAGATTCTGCCAACAGCTGGGAGTAGCTGCAGCCCTGGGGAGTAGCTGCAGCCCTGGGGAAAGCTGCAGGCCTGGTTGGCCTGGTAAAGGTCAACCCCCCCAGCCTTCCTGCACTCAGCCCTCAGCCTGCTTTGAACACAGGGTAAGAATGGGGCTGAGATTGTTATCTTTTGGGCATCTGCCCTGTCTTTTAAATTGCTCACATGGGCATAGTAGCTTTTCTCTTATCCCTCCCCTGAATTCTGAAAGGGTTGAAGGTGAAGGAAGACAAGATTTAAGGGTTGGATGCAAAAAAAAAAAAAAAAAAAAAAAAAAAAGTGCCGGGCATAGTGGCACATGCCTGTAATCCCAGCACTCAGGGAGACAAAGGAAGGCAGATCGCTGTGAGTTCAAGGCCAGCCTGGTCTACAAAGCAATCCAGGACAGCCAAGGCTACCAAGAAACCCTGTCTCAAAAAAAGTCCAGGATAATAAAATAACAGGATTTTAGAGAAATGCTGTGTCTTCTCCTACCAGAACCTGTGCCAAAAAGAAAAAACATGTAACAATAAGCTTATCTTTATTAAGTGTTGAGAGCTTATACTAAATGGATTTTTGGCATTGTATTAACATATCTATTTTGACTGCTGAGATTCAGGGTCCCTTGAGGTTCCATTCACAAATGTCTGTCCTGGCCTGCTCTAGTTTGGAGCTGACAGATGACTCAAGTTATAACCTAGGAAAGTTGGAGAGGCTCAGTGGTGGGTGTCCAGGGAGACGGGGAGTATGCCTTCTTAGCCTCTCTTTGCTAATGCGCTCAGTGCTGTGGTTGGCACTGCTAACCAAGGCTGTTCTGCCAGTCCTGGGTTCAGATCCTGTTCCACTCTATCGACCTTAGGTGGCAATACTCTGAGCTTGTGCCATAACATACAGGAAGAGACAGCAAGAGTCACCCAGCCTTGTGGTGGGCATGTCATGAGATGACAGGTGTAAGGAATGTGGGGACCCTGGAGCCTAGAAGGCAGCGCTAATTCACAGCAGGCCCCAGAGTTGCTGAGATTACCCAGCATCCAGGCAATGGGGTTCTACCACAACAGGTGTAGTGAGTACCTCAAGAGAAGCAGGGGCTGCTGGGAGTTTCTTGGTGGAGGGGTTAAACCCCAAGCTTGAAAAGACAGGGGTGCAGGTGGGCTGTGTACTCAGCTGGGGGCAGGGATGTAAGACAGGGCCAGGCCAAAGGACCCCAGGGTCAAGCTGGATATTCAGAGCTGCTGAAGGCATCTAAGCCAGTGGGGGTGAACACCACACTCGGTCCTTCCTACCCTGCGCCATGTGCAGTCCAAGTGCTGGGTTCTGCAGCAATGGAGAAGTCATATGAAGGAGGCCCTGCCCTGGATGAACTCTACTGGAGAGGGAGGAGGTCAAAGCAGAACTTTGTGGGGCAGGGGTGAACACGTGGAGCCGGGACCATGCAGTCTGCCGGAGGAGCACCTGCAGGGCGGAGGCCAGCAGACATCTACAAGACACTGGCTCGATGATGGTATGAGCACAGCCCCTCATTCCGCAGCGTCCTGGGGAAGAACCGCTCATCTCAGTTCCTGGCCGCAGCTTGGAACAAGGGACCATGATGATTGCAGAGGGTGATCTGAGGATGAAGCTAAACCTACACAGGAAGCAGGCAAGCCAGGATTTGTCACATCCCTGCTTGGTTCTCAGTGTGGCTCTTCGGTTAGACCCTTCTCGCCCCTAATGTTCCTTAGAGACAAGATGGCAGGTATCTGCTTGGCTGTGGCTTGCTGGGAACAGGTGGGAGGTGCTACCAAGGATCTGAAAAGTTACCTAACCACTTCTAGGGTCCCACCCCCCTAGCTAGACTCGGGCCTCAGTTGCACTCCTATCCCGGAGCAGTGAGAAGCTGCTGTCTCCTGTGTGTTCCCCTCCCTGCTGTCCGCTCTGGGCTTTTCCAAGAGACAGTACTAACTGGCTTGCTGTGGCCCCTGGAATCCCCTAGAGCGAACTCAATTCTTGATCCTAGCAACTTGTGACATGCACGCATCAGGGATGTCACAAAAGGGGCTGTAACAAGCTATCCAAAGTGATTGCTCCTTGAACACAGGCCTCTGCAGCCAAATTAGAGTGGATGAAAGACCTGGATGTTGGCACTGCTCCCTCTGGGGGAGCAGGGAGGAAAAAAGTGATTACCCCAATAGGTTTTAGGCTTTAATTGATTTGTATTTTTCCAGGCTGCTAAAGAAGATTAGATCACGGTATGAAAAGTGCCTAGGGCTTTAAATAAATGAGGAGAAATGAGAGCAACTTCAGAAATGTCCAGGAAGCACACTGAACCTCTCCCTCCACCCCCAAGTGCAAGCTGCAGCCTGGCTGTTGTGTCCTTTGTGGAGGAGGAGGAGGTGGCGGTTTCTTTACCTCCCCAGCTCACAAGTCCTGCAAGGCCTGAGGCCTTTGAGGAAGTAGTCATGGAGATGGAAGGCAGGCTGCCAGCATTCTGTGGGCAGGTGTCACAGTCCTAAGTCCGGAGGCCTGCTCCCAGCCTTGGGCTACCTCTGATTTCACCCATAGCCCTGGGCAGGACTTTCCCCTTTGCTAGTTCTCAGTCTCTGTTTCTGCAAAGGAGGGAGTTTGGATGGGAACTCTTCAAGCTCCTGAAACCTCTTCTCTCTGCCCAGCATCTGGTGAGGAAAGAGATCCTGGAAAGAGGAAATGACTTGCCCAAAGTCACCCAGCCAACTCCTCTGCCCAGTCTTATTCTGCAGTTTCTTGTCTGTATTCTGAGAAGAAAGGTTTTCATTTAACTGACACTACCTGGTGCTGTGGCCCAAGGAGCCCCTGAAAGCAAGCCTGCATTCCTTCTTGACCTCTGTAGACATGTGAACTATAGGGGCTGGAGATGGCTCCGCAGTTAAGAGCATTAGCTGCTCTTCCAGAGGACCTGGCTTTCATTCCCAGCACCCAGATCTATTGGCTCACTGCCTGCAACTACAGCTCCAGGGTTCCAAACACCCTGTTCCGGTCTCTGCTCTTTCTCTGCCCCTACCCATACACACACAAATAAAAATCAAACTTGTAAGAGGGGAGTTATTGCAGCCCAAAGTGATTAAGGTGAGATTTAGATTAGTCTCCAGATTAAATGAGCTATCACTATGGAGGGCAGGACCCATGCTGCCCACTTCCCACAGGCCAGTCACTGTCCAGTGCTTCAGGGCAGTCGTGGGAGGAATGCTTGCGTGGTCCACACTGCTCAGGCTAGAAACTGAGGCCCAGGGCAAATTTGCCAAATTCACAAGGTCCAGACGGAGTTTGACTTTGGTCTGTCCCGGTGGGCTGTGCATCCCTCCTCTTGGTGAGTACACAGAACCCTTCCCACACTCCCCACCCCCACCCCCGCGTCCACAGCAGCAAGCAGCTCTCCTCTCTCTAGGCCAAGACACCTCCACCTCTTTCTCCGTAATTCCCTGAGTGTTTTCAACACAGCTCTTCAGCGGCGCCCCAGCCCCCTTTACCCTGGTTTGACTGGCCTTCGCCTCACAGAGTGCTCAGACGCTTGCGGTGCCTTGGTGGGTGTGTGGGCACCGGAGGGAGGGAAGGTCATCCTCAGGTCTCAGGAAGCAGGAGTGGGCGGGGTCGAGGCCACAAAGACCTCTAGCCGATTGTGACCACAGGTGCCATGGCAATCAGGTCACATGGTCCGGCTGCCCAACCGGAGATCGTCCCAGTTTCCCCAGGACCCTGGCTGCAGATGAATTTTGCTCCTGTAGACGCCGAACCCAGCGTCTTTCGTTTTAAGTTGAGGAAACAGGTCCAGGGAGCAGGGTTGGACCCTAAGCTCCCAGAGCCCAGACCCACACGGTGGTTACACCAAAAGCAAGGCTCGTTTCTGGGATTCGATTCTCCTAGAGAGGTTGGGGCCGTGGGGATAAAGGGCCCTGGGGCGTCGTAGGATTCCACACTTGCTGGGCACTTGGGGCGTCCTTGCTCTGTGCCCCATCTGAACGTCTTGGGGTCCTTGCACTGTGGTCCCTTGGGGTGTCCTGGGGCTTTGCGCTGTGGCCCGTCATGGGGGTCTACTGCCCTGGGGAGGGAGAGCCTGCTGCAGGTCGGGCTGCAGTGGATGGAACCCGGGACCAGGACCCGCCCCAGCGGAGGCGCGCACCGATGACGCACAGACTGGCGTCCTAGCAACGCGGTTACTAGGAAGCAGCGGGCCATCAGAGACATGGATGCAACCACTGCTCCGCACCTCATCCCCCCGGAAATGCCTCAGTACGGGGAAGACAACCATATCTTTGAGATGATGCAGGTGACCGGACGCCCGAGAGTGGGGAGGATGGCCATGGGATCGTAGGGGCTGGGCCAGCAGCACGGTGTCGGGGAATCCCTTTCCTCAGCTTCCCCACCGGTGAAATCCCCAAGTAGTCTCAGGGCCTCCTCTGGAATTATGTGGAGAACCTTCTCAGCTGGTGCCCAGTCCTTGGGTCTTACCTAAGCTGGGCTCTGGCATCCCTAACAAGCTAGGCTCACCCACCTGAGTTCAACAGGCCAGTTAAGGAGACAAACAACAGTTTAAAAAACAAAAAACAGAAAAAAAAAATTGTTCCATATAACCATAATGGGAGGTGGAACACATAAAAGAAGTCCAGTGAGCCGCACCCCAGATCTAGTTTTGGGGTCCGGAGTGAGGATTAGATTTATGAGCAAGAGATATGCATAACTAAGGAGGCGGAGGACCCGGCCAAAAGTTGGTCCCACACATCACTGACCCATCTGTCTCAGCTCCATTCTCCTGCAAAGTGGTCTGACAAATTGAAAGAACTCTGTGGATCTCTTCCTGAGAGACCAGATCCTTCTCTGGCCAAAGTCACCAAACTTTCAGCCCTTTTCATCTCCCAGCATGAGATTCCAGGAAATTCCAGCTCTCAGTGACCATTGTCTCAGGTGTCAGCCAAAGACGGGGGACACGCATGTTTTGTCTCACTAGGATGTCTTTATTTCTGACGGGACAGGTATGGGCTGTGCAGGTTTTGAGATGACATCCCTATCCAGGTGGCCTCGTCTAGGACGGAAGTATTTTCACTTAGACTCCATCATCAGAATCAGCCTTTTAAAAGCCCTCATCTTTCAGCATGGCTCCAAGCCTGTCCTCAGCCCAACTGTGGCCTTAGGCTAAACCCTGTCCCCACCTATGTGTGGTCTAGTTTTCTACTTGTGTTCTCTGGAGGTACAAAAGGCTTTCAGGAGCTACACTGATGAGCTGTCTGCCACTCGAAAATTCTGGGGTCCAAGGGTAAGCTACAGCTCAGTCTGCAGTATCCTGTTCTGCAATTTGAGATATTTCAACCCCCCTACCCCAGCAGGACCATGGTGACAATGAATGCAGGCCAGGCCAAGGAATGTGAGTCTCCAGAAAGCATGCTTCCTTTGGAAAGTGTTAATGGTCGGGGGTGGGAGTGGGGAGATAGAGAGTGGCCAGTCACAGATAAAGCTGCTAAGTTGAGGGACATGAGAAGTTAAGATTCATGATCCTGGCCTATTTTCTAGTTGGACTGGTAGGGCAATCATTATTACCATTTTATTTTCAAATAATGTTAGATTTGGGAAGTTATAAAAATGGCATTTACCTCTTGTCTACCCTTGGGCTGTCTAACATGGGTTTTAGAAAAGCCATGAAACAGAAGTGGGTACAGAACTTCAGCCTGCACTGCAGGCTTCACTTGGATCCCGTCCCCTTTCACCTGTACTTGGGTTTCTGTGGTGGTGTGTACAGCATTCTGAAGTTTATCAGATGTCTGTGGGTCCACTGCTGTTCAGCCGCATTAACACCATTCTCAGAATTAAGTTCACAGTCACAGACTTGGCTTCTTTTTGTCTTGACCTGAGACATACTCTTGTCATCACCAGTCTAGAGCATGGATATTATAGCTGTGTTATCTGTTCGATCTTTTAGCCAGGAAGCAATCAGCAACATACCCTAGCACAGAGTTAGCCAGCTGTGCCATTGAACAAAGGGTGGGAGGTGGGGGACAGGGAGAGCTGAAGCCCCAAGAAGGGAAGGGACTTATGAGATCTAGAGCTGGGATGGGACAGCATTCCCCATTGGTGCTACCATCTGCCCTGCACTTCTCTGTCCCCACAGGCCAAAGCACCCTTCTACCTGTCCTGCAGTCTAGCTCCTGTCAGCTTTCCAGGTCCCTGGTGTGCCTCCCTGAAAATTGCTCCCTCTGATGTGTTTGCTCAGTTGGATTAATTGGCCAGAGAATCCAGGACTATTTAAACATTTGGCTGAGGAGTATAGTGTCCCACCATGGAGAGACCCAGCCAGGGGTAATGATTTTGTCCCCCAGCTAACATCTGCACTGAGCCCCTACTATAACTGTGCACACAGGGAAGACCAAAGAGCCCATGGAGTGGTTGAGCAGGGATGAGGTGAGGCAGGGAACACAGGTGCACATGGCAGGCCTGTGCAGGAGCGTAGCGCAGCAGGGGTTTCCCTGGTGCACTGAGATCTAATGGCTATGTAGCCAGGTCAAGGAGCAGAGGCGCTCCAGGCAGAAGGCCAGCATTCAGTAAGGCGTTGCAACAGGACAACAGTGCAGGACCAAGGGAAGGCTTGTGTGGGAAGCATAAAGGGAGAAAAGGTGGGGGACCTGGCTGCTTGGGCGATACCAGCAGATGCCTCAACAGGTGGTCTCCATGACAACCAGGAGCCCTGCAGGTGCTAATTCCCTGATATCTGCATGTGCCCACAGAATATGCTGGAACAGCTCCTGATACACCAGCCAGAGGACCCCATCTCCTTCATGATCATTCACCTGCGCCGAAACAACGACAATGGTGAGCACTCATTCCAGTGTGTGGTACTGCTGCCCATCTCCTGGCCACAACCCAGAAGCCCTCCGTTCCATCTGTGTCTGGAGGGAGATCAGAACAAGACAGGGAGGGGAGGCACTTTGACAAGTTGCAGTAGCTAATTGGAGAATGCCTTCTTCCTTTTCTTTTTGAGCCCAACTCATAAAAATTCTCTTGCCAAGCTATTAAAATGCAAACCCCAGAATGGCCCATGTAATCAATTATTAATGCTTCCGCCTGCCCTCGCTGATGTCGCCTGTTGGGTTTAAACTCTCTGATCATGCTACTTGTCAGGTGAAGTTTGGTTTCTGGTCTACCTAGACAGGCGAGCACTTGACTTTTCCAAGGGTCTCATTACCAACCTGCTAATGAGTTGCGGAGCTCCCCAAACCTTGGCCGAAGTCAGGCCGGCTAGACCCTAGGCTCAAGTGCAGAACTGGGAAGAGAAAGGCCCTCCAATAAGTCAGGCCTCTCCCTGCAGCCCAGGGTGGTGCAAAGCCGAGAGAAGATCATTCTGCCCTGGGTGAGCTGTTTTAGGGGGATCTGGTGTCTTGGTTGGTTGGTTTAATTTCCTTTGGTCCATTAGCACTTCTGAGGGAGCTTTATCTTACCAGTAAAGGTAGCATTTGGGACTTGAGATGCCCCAGGATAGGATTGGGCTTCGTAATAAAAGTTAGGTTTTGGTTTAAGCTGGGTGTGGTGGGCCATACCTTTAATCCCAACACTCAGGAGACAGAGACAGGCAGATCCCTGAGTTCGATGCCAACCTCGTCTGCCAAGTCTACCCAAGACAACCAGGGCTACACAGAGCAACCCTGTCTTGAAAAACCAAAACAAATGAAAAAGTTAGGTTTTAGAAAGGTAGGGAAGAGGATACTAGAGAGATGGCTCAGCAGTTAAAAGTACTTGCTACACAATTGTGGGGATTCAAGTTCAGATTCTGGCATCCCCATAACAAACTGGGTATCCACAAACGCCTGTGTCTTCAGCTCTGAGGGGTCCGATGCCCTCTTCTGATCTTGGCATGGGCACATTCACAGGCACCCACCCATGCACAAACAAATTAAACCTTGCGATGATGCTTAGCTTTAATTGTCAGGTTGGCTCAGCCTACTGTGGGTGGTACCCTTCTCAGGTTGTGTGCAAATAGAGAAATCAAGGCAGGGACAGGCCAGCAGGCAAGCATTCGTTTCTTTCTGCTCTTGACTGTGAACATGATGTAATGAGCCTTGACTTACCTTCAGTGGAGAACCGTAGCCTGGAATTGTAAGCTGAAAGAAACTATCTCTCCTAAGTTGTTCTTTGTCATAGTATCTTACCGTTCAGCAATGAAAATGAAACTGGAACAAAGCTTTAAATTTTTTTTTTAAAGGTAGAGAGAGCAGGCTCCATGCGTGCAGGTGCACCCAGCTCACCAGCCTTTCCCGAGTATCCTGTCCACACACCTTGATGAGTCTGGGTACTCCAGTACTCAGCTGAGACCGTAGACTGGGTGGACTGAGCTGTGACAGAGGGAGTCAGAACCCTAGAATTCCACCACCTCCTTCCCACCCCATCTACCTGCCCTGGGCAATTCTCCCTGCTTCCTCCCTTTGGCTGGTTGGTGGAGGGAGAGTCAGCACTGGCCCTATCTGCTCTTGACATGAATGTCCTGCCTGGGTGGGTGTGCCCCGGGAGGGGGATGGATTTATTTATTTTCATTTGTGTGTATGAGTGTTTTGCCTACATGGATGTCTGTGCATCGTGCACATGCAGTACTCGCAGAAGTACACATGGTTGTTTGGAAACTGAACCTAGGTCCCCCACAGAGCAGCCAGTGCTCTTAAAGTCTGCGCTCTCACTCCATATCCCCACTGTGGGGAAAGTTCTTTGAGCCAATAGCCTTTAGGCTTTGGTAAGCCTTGGGCCTGGAGGAAGAACCTGGAACTCGAGGCTGCTTCTGCCTTCTCCTCCTGTGTTAGTGCTGCTGCGCTGACTGCTGGTCAGCGTTTCATCATCAAATTCGTTGCAATAGCTTTCCAAGTCTCTGCATCATAGCTCTGGGCTATCTGCAGTACAGTTGATGTCTGCTGGACAGCTACCTCCTCCCTGGGTGGCAATCCGCTTGTGGCCACCTACCACACATTTCCAGGGCTGTGACACTGCAAAGGCTGCTCTTCACTGAGTCTTTCTCTTTACCCCACACAGCACTCTCTGCTGCAGGGAAAGGAATCCAGGCCTGTGCTGGGGCTGGTCAGCCTCCTACCCGTCATTCGAATGGGCATCACTTTCCAGCCTGCACATTCTTCAGACACACTTTCTAGGTTCCATAACCACGGCTTTAGTGCCTCAACTACTCCCCAGTTCTCCATCCCACTCAGAGGCTTTGGTGAGCATTTATGGGACAGCTATGCTGTTGGTTAGGGGGATTCATAGGCTTTGGTCCTCAGAAAAGCAAAGATAAGAATGGGTGGAGGATGAGAAAGCAGGGAGTCCACCTTGCTGCTGCAGCTTTTCTGGGGTAACTCAGAGAAGACATGTGGGATCAGCTCTCTGGAGCTTAGTGGGGTCTCAAGACATGCAACATAAATTTCCATGTTTCCTCTGGGCAGTAGCAAGAGTAGCTTGCCTCCTAGCCAGGAGCCAGGAACGCAACCTTGCTGCTTACTGGCAGCGGGTGAAGCTTGGGCCCATAGGACACTGGCCAGTGACTGACCTAGGAGGAAGGACACATCCCAGCCCGTGAGCATGCACAGGAGGGAGGGAAGGATCTCTGTCTTGGGCTAGCAGCCCCTTTGCCTCGAGAAAAGCATTTAGTACAAAGTGAGCGTTTACGGTGGCCCTGGGCAATATTAGCGCAGGCGGTGGTGGGGATAATGGAGCATTTCGCTTCTTATCAAACGCTTGTCCAGGAAAGCCTTGTATTAGAGTTCCGATACCTGAGGGGTTCCTTGTGAATTTTAAATCATGCTCATAGTTAAGCCTCAAAAGCCTTCACGGATGGAAAGGTTCTTTGATTTTCTTTGAAGTGGTTGGAGGAGTTTGATTACTCTTGGCAGTCAAGCAGCCTTTTATGACACTGTTTATAAATAATTACTCATGAGCTGGGCTGGAGTTTCAAGGTGTTAGATTTTAAGAAACCAAAATTAGTCATATAAGTGAGTACGAGAAATTGGGAGGGAAGAAGGGCCATGATGTTCCTCTTTAAAGTATTTTCTTAGGCGTGTACAATTTGGGTGCCACTTAGAAGAGCCAGGAACAGAGGGGAGGAACATTTCCCATGTAGCCCCAGCCCAGGGCCTTTGCCAAGATGAACACACCAGCCAGGAGTCGGACTTGGTCCCAGGCTGTCCTGGTTACACCCTTGATACGAGATGCCTCTCCCTCCCTCCCCAGCACCACCATCCCTGAGCCCCGGTGGGTCTGGCTGGCGACATTCCAAGGAATGGGCAAAGGCCCATGCTTAGAGCTGTGGGTACCAGAGTAGGCTCGTGCAGCATCTCGCCAGCATCCCTGGCTTTGGCTGAGCAGATGTTCTCTCCAGTTACAGCAATTTCCCTTCTTTCCAGCACGAAGCCCCTCTGCCTTTGATCACCCTCCCTACTGCTTTCCAAACCCCAGACTGAACTTTGGCTCCAGTCTTACCTTCACCTTTCACTTGACCAAGTGTCCACAAAGCCACCTCATTTCCACACTTGGGCTACAAATGGTGATGCCTACCAGATGCAGCATCTCTCACTCAGATGCCCTGGGAGGCCTTGTCCCAGCCTGTGACTCAGAGCAGGGAATGGACCTTGCTTCCTGCCCTGATCCTTGCACTGATGTCTCAGATGCTGGAAAATGCCCCCAGTTTCTATGACAACCTATGCCATGTGCTGCCCTCACTTGTTGGTGGCTCTTTGAGGCCTGGTTCCTGAATGGCAGTGCTTCGTGGCAACCCCACGGACCACAGAGTATCAAGGACAAAGGCTGGGGTGTCCATGCCTGGAACAGACCATTTTGTGGCCTGGCTCGGGGTGTCCTTCCCGGGGCTCCCCAGGTGTGTTGGATTCTGTGAACCTCTGCCTTTTACTCAAGCCTGTTTCAATTTGGCCACCTGAGGATTCCTAGCAGTTCCCTACGAGGCCGACCGGCAAAGGGACAACAATGGCGACACTCAGTGGTGACATCGAAAGCTTGGGACAGTCAGGATGGCCATTGCAGGCACTGCTGTGTGTGTGGCCAAGCGGCACTGATGTGTGGCCGAGACTCTGCACCTGCCGTCAAGGAGCCGGCCATTTGCTGGAGGCAGCCGTGCCCTGTGTTTAGCCTGTGGTGAAGCTTACTGTAGCAGAAGGGAAGCTGCTGCAAGTAGCGTGATCAAGCCCTTCACAATCAGTGTGACCAGGGTGTGGTCTCAAGCAGGAAGAAGCAATGAGGCCCTGGGCATCTCCTGGCTGGGTGGAGGCAAGGGCATTCTTGACTAGGACATAAGTGATAAAGGAAAAGTATGTTGGGATCATCTGGAAGAAACAGGGCTGCCCCCAGGCCTTTAGCTCAAAGGAGGGGATCGTTAGGGACTCTGAAGATTCTCTGAGCCCCAGGGCTATTAGGAAAAGCGGGGCCTATCCCAGCCTTTTGGAAGCAATACCCCTACAGGCCCACGGGAACCTAAAGAATTCTGGGGACTCGGGCCAGCAGAGCACTGTGGTATCCACAGTGTGTGGCTCACTCTGCTAGCCTGCCTGCTGTGTGGGGCCTCTCTCATGTCCCGGCTCCTGTGCTACTGTGAGACTTTCAGAGCTGAGTTTTGGGAGTCATCTCACTCTCTCTTCCGCCTTCACCTCGGAAGTGGGAAGTACTGGGAATTTGGGCAGAGATCTATTTAAAGGCAAGCAGTCTAGGAGGGTGTCCTTGTGCTTGGCCACTAAAGCTACTGGACTAACCACTACTCTCTGGTTCCATATCTCTGTCTGTCCCCAGAGGAGACAGTCATTCATGTTCGACCTTTGCACAGAAAAGAGTCCCTCCAGCTCCATGTGGACACTAGAGCCGCAAGAGAGTTGGGGCGTAGGCAGTGTTTGTGTGCCCTAGGGACTCGGTAGGGTGTAGGTGACATCATCAAGAGACTTGACTGGCAGTCACCCCCAAGCTTTCGTGTCCAGCTGATCTTGTTCATGCCCTTGCCACCACGCCTTTCCCTGTGGTTGGCTTCTCTCTCCTCCCACATGCTAGCAAACTACTCCATGGATTCCGAGATGACATGCCAGAGCTTCAGCAGGACCAAGACTGTCCCTGAGCCACGACTTAGAGCTACAAATAAGCTGCGTGTATGTGTGTGTGTGTGTGTTGTGTATAAAAATTTGCATAGAATTGCCTGCATTCGAAAACAAAGACTTACCCACCTTGGGTTTTATAAATCTGGCCTGAACGCTGCAGGTTTCTTTCCATTATTTTCTTCTGTAAAATGATGAGGTGTGAGGATACAATTTGCTAAGTAAGAAGGCATATATATATATATATATATATATATATATATATATATATATACATCAAAGGTTGATTTACATAAAATACAACTTTATTTGAAAGAGTGTCCCCAAGACAAAGTCCCTGTTTAAAATGCTTTATGGCATTTGAAAATCCCAATTGTTTTTGATATTCATTAGTTTGGTAAACAAGTTACTGTGTCTGTGTCCCTGCGGAGATAGAAAAATAAACCATCTCTGTGATCGCTTACCTCTCTAAACACAGAGAATGCGTTCTGGGCGCGAGCGTCTCCCAGGCTCGGGGTTATGAATGGCTATGTCACTGGCAGAAATGAAATCTGGGGAGGCAAGAAAGAAATAGACTCAGAGCAGCACAGACATGGGAGGCTGCTTTGTCATGCCCAGAGTTGACATGCAAATCTTTTTCTTCCACAGTGCCGAAGATCATGATACTAGGTCCGCCCGCCTCGGGGAAAACCACCATCGTAAGTCCATTATATTAAATGTCGTTCTAGAGTGCATCGTTCATGCGCCAGTAGACAGGAGGCTGTGCCTGGGTGAACTGTCCACACGCCAGTACTTCTTTTCCTACCCACTTTCTCATTACAAGTGGCAGTGTGTGTTCAGAGGCGGTCTCTCAGTCAGCGTGCTCTTGCTATGAAGAGACAACCATGACCACAGCAATTCTTATAAAGGAAAACATTTAATTGGGGCCTGGCTTACAGTTCAGAAGTTTAGTCCATTATCATCATGGCAGGGAGCAGGGTGGCAGTCAGGTAAAAGACATGATGCTGGAGAAGGAGCTGAGAGCTCTACATCTGGATCAGCAGGCAGTGGGAAGAATGGGCCGGCTTGAGTTTCTGAAACCTCAAAGCCCACCCCTGGTGGGTGACACACCTAAGCCAACAAGGCCACACCTCCTAACAGTACTGCTCCCTATGAGCCCGTGGGGGCCATTTTCATTCAAACCACTACACATGGGAACCCAGAAAATACAAAACTGCAGTCACACAGCCCTTCGGAGATAAGTGCTGCCTTATGGTGACCTGGTGACCCCTTCCCTGGTCACACCGCAGAGGCACCCTGGGTCCCCCCCCCCCCCCCCGCTGTTGCTGTGGAATGCGTTTCTGGAAGGACTTCTCAGTTAAACAGCCTGCATACCTTAGGGGCCGAAGTTGTGGATGGCGAACTGGCTCAGGTGGGCAGAGGAGAGACACTGTGCCCCAGAAGCTCACATGCCAGTTCCCAGACTTCCCACACATCCGTCATTTGCCACCTTTTCTCTCTGGTCTCTCTACTTTAAAGGAAAAGCAAGAGAAAGACCAGGCCAGTGAACAGTGAGCCTCTCTCCTGTCTTCGTCTCTTTTCCACACCAGACACTGGCTGGAAGCTGGTGCTTCCATCCTCCCCATGACTTTAATCTCCGGATCACTGGTTTTTGTTTTTCTTTTGAAAATAGGGACTTACCTTTTAGCTCTGGCTGTACTAGAACTTACCTACAGCCCAGGCTGTCCCCAGGCTCACACTAATCCTCCCTCAACCTCTCAACTGCTGTAATTCCAGGCGTGGGCCACCATAGCCAGCTACAGGTCCAGGTTTTCTTTTTTAATTTTTATTAAATCTTATTTATTTTGTATGTATGTACATGTACATGTGGGGGTGGTGGTGGCAGACATGGGCCACAGTGCACATATGGCTGTCAGAGAGAAACTTCTAAGTAACTGATTCTCTCTCTCTATTATGTGGGTCCCTGGGATCAAACTCAAGTTGTCAAGATTGGAATCAGGCACCTTAACCCACCAAGCTAGTCCCTGGTTGTGGTTTTGTTTGTTTGCTTTGGCTTTTTGAGACAGGGTTTCTCTGTCCTGGAACTTGCTCTGAAGACCAGGCTGGCCTCGAACTCAGAGATCCGTCTGGGTCTGCCTCCCAGTGCTGGGATTAAAGGCGTGCAACAGTACTGTCTGGTTGGCTCCTAGTTATAGTTTTAAAATGCCACACATGTATTAGAATTATGGTAATCGGAGGTGGGAAGCTTTCTACCTCCTGAGTTCTTGTCCCGGTAGGGCTAGGCTGTTCCTTGCTGAGCTAGCACCTAACCTCGAAAAGAAACTAATGTGGGTGACCCTTGCATGAGACCCCCTGTGCATGCTATATTGTGACAGTCAGCACAGCTGTTGTCATCTGTCTGTCTCTCTGTCCTTCTGTGTCTCCATATGTAGTTTTTCTGTTTTATTCGCTCCCTTTTAGTCAGTCTCCCTGAACCCCACCATTATGTCATTTTAGAGATGGGGTTCCCCCACTTGCCAGTTCTTGGCATTACCTGAAAACCTCAGAGTCCTGGACTCCCCTGCCGATGGGTATGGTCACCCGTTGGGGCTGGACCAATCTGTAGTGCTCCTGACTATGGAATCCATGCTGACAGACTGTGTTTAGCCACCTGCTGGGCTCTCTTACTGAGCTGTGTTCTCAGCAAGGGTGCAACAGCCCTGAGGTGAGGGGCTTTAGGCAAAGGGCTCCTCTCTGATCACCAGGAGGGATTTGTTGGGCAGGGCAGGTGTGGAACACAGAGGCCTGACTCAACCCCTCCCCTGTGGTCCCCTGAGCTCCGAAAGGCAGCCCTTGCTCCTGTATGGGTGGAGGGCCACACAGAGCCAACGGTGGGGGTGAGGCAGACAGTGCAGGTGAGTGGGAGGCTGGGAAGCACCTGGCATGTCTGCCTTCTGGGAGCCTCTCCCACAAATGACTGTTTCTCCATGACCAGCCTTTTTTTTTCCCAGGTTCTCATACACACCAGGCAAATGCGCCACTGCTAGGCCACAGTCCTGGTTCCGGCTCCTCAGCCATCTTTTTCTAACAGAATATGGAAGGATTTGACAGTTTCTTGTTTACTTTTGTTTTTTTTTAGACAGGGTCTCTCTATTTGATCAGGTTGGCCTCAACTAGTTCTCCTGCCTCAGTTTCCCAAATGCTGACATATTACAGTCATGTACTGAATACGACCATACCCAGGCTTGAGTGTGTGTGTGTGTGTGTGTGTGAGTGTAGACCAGAAGAGAATCCTTAACACCATCTACTTCCTTTGAGACAGGGTTTCTCACTGGCCTGGAACTCATTAACAGTCTAGACGGCCTGGCCACCAAGCCCCAGGGAACCTCCTGTCTATTTCACAGCACTGGGGTTACAAGTGTGCCCCATGCCAGGAGCTGTTACATGGGTTCTGGGGGTGGAATTCGAGCCTCTCGCTTCCCAGCCCAGTAGAGTGCTCTGTTCACTTTCTTTTCTGCTGTCCTTTCTTCAGGCAATGTGGCTCTGCAAACATCTGAACAGCAATCTCATCACCAAGGAGAACTTACTAAGCAGAGAGTATTCCTCTCTGGCTACGGAGGCAAAGAAATATTTCGAGACTTACAAGGTAAGGTTGGCCCCTCGGTGGAGGGGCGGGGACTGAGCAGCCATGCTGGAGCAGCTGTGGCTGTACATCTCCACTACCTGTTCAGGCAGATAAGGTGGAGGGAAGGGGGAATCCAGAGCTCAGGCCCTTCCTTGTGGGGGAGTAGCCAGAGTAAAGGACAGTGGTTTGTCCTGGATGAGACATAGCAGTCCGGTCCAGTGACCCGGACAGACCTGGTGGCCATATCTGGGCTGTGGGGCTGAGCGCAGCTGGAATTTAAAGGGCTGTCATTACACATACACATTACACACCCCCGATGCTGCACTTCAGGAATGTGTGTGTGGGTAAGTGTGTGTGTGCCTGGGAGTGTGTGTGTGTGTAATGGTGGACAGGCATATGTGTGGAGGCGAGAGGCTGATGAGGGGTCTCTTCTCAATCACCCTCTGACATGTCACTTTTGGTTTAGTTTGAGTCAGGTCTCATTGAACCTGGACCTCACCTATCAGGCTGGACTCTCTGGCTAGTGACCCAGAGCTCTACAGGTCTAACCTCCTCATCCCAGAGCACTGTTTCTCTTTACTCAAACAGAAATGCAAAGATTTTTTTTTCCCCAAAATTCCCTTTGAGGCAAAGGCTGGGGAAATGTTATTTTGTTGTTTTTTGTTTGTTTGTTTGTTTGTTTGTTTGTTTGTTTGTTTTTGCTGTTCTCTGAGGTTAAAGTCCCTTCTCCTCCTGTGGGACCCTCAAGTTTGCTGATACTGAAGTGAACGGGCCACTTTCCACGTTCTGTCAGCACCACCACCTCAGATTCTATAGACAGAGCCCAGCCCATCCATTGTCCAGTGCACTTGTGGAGGTCACAGTACACCCTGGAGGTGTGGATTCTCTTTCTACCACAAGAGTCCCAAGAATTGAGACTCAGGCTTGGTGGCAAGTGCCTGTACCCACTCACCTACCTCTCTGGACCTGGCAAAGGTTCTTGACCATGCTGGCAGAGCTGCTGTCTCTGTGGAAGGCCGACCAGGGCCTCTCAGCTTGTCTTTTCTGCTGTACTGCTGAAGTCTGTACTGTGCATTGAAGTGCCTGCCTGGGTGACCCAGGAGCCTGCTGACAGGTGACCCAAGCACATGCCATTCCTGTGTGAAATGACATCCAATCCTGGAAATTAAGTGCTCCTAGAGGCAGAACCAGGCACAGCCCACACACCTGGCACCTCTGGGCAGGCCAATCAGCATGTCCTTCAAGAGAGGAAGGCATACTGGGGTGTCAAGACAGTCACCCCATCACTGGGCCCCAGAAGTTGCTACAGGCAACACTGGACACTGCCAGGGAAGAGAATAAAACCCAGGCTGGCTAAGTAGATTGCGATGCTGCCCCTAAGAAACCAAGGAAGCAGACTGCCCAAGGCCAGCAAGTTTAGGCACTCACACCTGTGCCTGGGGGAGCCACGCTGGGCTCTGTCTACTTGTCTTTGCCTCTCCCCCTAAAGCCAGGCCTGGGGGCTGGAGGGTGGGGATGTGCCACTGAGTTCTGGAAGGAGGCGGCTGACTCCTGCAAAGACAGTTTGGCAGGGCTTGGAGAAGCGACCCAGAAGCCCCTGGGATGATGTGACACATCAAAGCTGCCATCCAGACAGCACAGTGGCAGGGAACGGCAGGGGGCACTTGAGATGGGCCTTGCTCAAAGTCACTACCTAGTCCCTGCTGGGAGGGCTTCAGGAGGCAAGCACCCCACGAGAGCCTGTCATCTTTCAACCATGCACTCTGACTGCTTGGATTCCCCGAATCTGGGCTGAGGCCTCCTGTGTTCCTCCCATACCTGTGTGAGTGGATGGCATCAGGAAGGGTGAACCCTGAAAACGTGGCCCGGGGAAGGAGACTGCTCTCGCTGGGAGAGGACTGGGAGGGAATGAGAAGGGAAGGAGCTACCTACCCACTCCCTCTATATTGCCAACTCTGGGGACACCTGGAGGTTTCTGGCACCAGCAAAAAGGTAGCCTCCCTTGCCAGTGGTTCCCCATCTGGTGGACACTTTTACATTGAGGTCACCTTAGGCCAGAGGTTCTCCATATGAGGCCCCAGTCTAGGAGAAATGACATGACTTGGGAACATGTTGGAAATACAAACTCAAATTCAGAACTCCTGGGGTGGGTTCCAGGAAAGCCATTGGCTGGGCTGAAATGTGTCTCCAATGGTTCAAAACTTGTATCAGGCCCTGGATTAGACCCTCGGTAAGCCGAGAATGGTGATACTTGCCTGTGATCTCAGCACGTGGGAGGTAGAGGCAGTAGGATCAAGGTCATCTTTGGCTACATAGGAATTGCAGGAGAGCCTGGGCAACTGAAAGCTTATTTCAAAAAACCAGGGGCTGTGGGAGGGGGTGCTAGGGAGATGGCTATATGGGTAGAGAGCTGGCTGTGCAAGCATGAAGACCTGAGTTCAATCCCCAGCACCCATGTGAAAAAGCCAGGCACATGGCATGCATACCTGTAATCCCAGCACTGAGAAGACAGAGCCAGGAGGGGTCCCAGGATTTGCTAGCCAGCCAGCCTAAACTACCTGGAATGTGTCAGGCCAGTGAGAGGCCCTATCTCAAAAGTGAGGGAGATGGCACCCGAAGTGGAGGTGCCAGCTGTGCCTACTGTGACTCCATGACTTTGATACGTCATTGATTTATAAAAGCAGGCCTGCAGGGAGGTGTCCTTGACGCTATTCTGGTGCTGGGGCGGGGGTCTGTTGGTCAACATTCATGCCCCGCTCTCTGGGGGTAAGAACTTATGTTATTTGCTCATGATTGTGGTGTGAACACTCCCATCAAAGCCAGCTTTGGTCACAGTATGGAGTCATCAAGTGTGCAGTTGGAGAGAGGTGTGCACATACTTAGAGCTTCGGCCAATGGCTCCCACTCACACCTTGTGTAGAGCGCAAAGGCAAAAGACACAGTTCCTTTCCCTGAGAAACGTTACCACTACTGAGGATGACGGATACATCCTTGGACAGCTTATGCAATGAAAACTTCATTATCCACACTCCTGGGGTGTGAGCAGTATGAGGCATAGGTCATGAGACATAGGGAGTCTGAGGGTTGGGGAAGCCTGCTGCTGGGAAGTAGGCATGGAAGGGATAACCTGGGCATGCCTTCTATGGGGAGGATGCTCAGGGGCCCAGTCAGGGGTGCTGCCCGTGTCTGCCCCCACCCCCTCAGCTCCAGCCTGGGGCTGGGGGCCTCACACTGTGTGTCTTTCCTTCAGAGGATTCCCAATGCGATGCTTATCAACCTGGTCCATGAGCGCCTCTGTGAGGACGATTGCCTCAGACAGGTAAGACTGTATGGGATGGCATGGCTAGGCGTGGCCTGTGTTTTAGGAGTCACCCTGGAGGGGCCTGGCAGTTATGGTGGAGAGGACATTTCTATGGGAGAGTTCTGTGGGTCTTCTCTCCATCCCTCAGCCATAACTGCAGGGGAGCACAGGGGTGGAAGGGAGACAAAGAGATGAAGAAGAGGGTAAGGGAAGCTCTCCCTGCTGTCATGTAACTGGGAACAAACTGGCTGGCATGAAAACTGAGGCATCTGCAGCCAGCTGAGCAGCTCTGAGAGTCACAGTCCTCCCGAGCCTCAGAAGAGACAGAACAGCAGTGAGCCATGCATGTGGTTTTTTGTTTTGTTTTTGTTTTCTCATGCTGCTGCATCCTGGTGGCTGAATATCTGCTGTGGAAGTTTAGCCTGCAATGCAGAGCAACAAATGCTTCAGGCTGAGTTACAGAGTGGGCTTGTGTGTCCTGGCAGCGTGATGCATTCACATGAACCCAGCTGCCCTCCTAGTGCTACTTTAACACGTAAGAAATGCCACACAAAGGGCTGGAGAGGTGGTTAAGCAGTTAAGAGCGCTTGCAACTCTTGCAAAGGACCAGAGTTTGGCTCCCACCAACCAAATCACAGCTCACAGCCGCCCATAACTCCAGCTCCAAGGAACCCTAATCCCTCCTTCTGGCATCTATGGGTAGCTGCATACATATTTGCAAACATAATACAGACCTACACATACACAAATAAATAAATCTTTAAAACTGAAACATAAAATAGACACAGACCAAGATGGTCAGAGCTGCCGGGTCTCAACTAGACATTATGGGAGTATGGTTTCAGGGAAGCTGCAGTTCTGTGTGTAGCTCAAGCTTGCCCTCCAGGACACACAGGAGTCATATAGCTCAGCCTGGCTTTGTATCTCTAATCCTTGTGCCCACATGTCCTGAGTGCTGGGGTTACAGACATGGTTCATGACAACTGGCCTGTGCAGTATAGGGGATGGAGCCCGGGGCTTTGCATTCCCAGCACCAGCAAAGTCTGATGTCTAGTGTCCTTTCTTGAGCCTTATTTACAAGCTTGGTCCACACAGCCTCTTTTCATTCTACACCTGCAGTGTAGACCAAGTTCAAGGTCAGGCTTTCCAGAGGCCTTGCCAAGAGCTCCCACTGTCATCAGAATGCATTTACCGTTATTGATACACTTAGGTCATAATTGCTGCCTTGATTGCATGTTATTCCATGCAGTTGTATTGTGTTGTGATTGATACTGTTGACCACAGGGATATTTATAGCACTGATTGTCATGGTGACTGATGGTGGTGATGGTGGTGATGCTTTGACTTGTTGCAGGCACATCTGCACTCGTTAGAAAGCCTGTGACCTCTTGGTGGCCCCTCTGATCAGTTACATGGCATGTATGGCCAGGCCAAATACTCCATGCAGCACCTCATGCAGCTGTTGCTGTTTTATGGTGTGTGTGTGTGTGTGTGTAGGCCTGAGTTTGACATCAGTGTCTTCCATGATTGTTCTCTACTTTCATTTACTGAGGAAGGGCCTCTTGTTATGGAAGGGGTATCTCCTGGAGGCTTGGTCGGTGTTCCATCTCCACTGGACAGCAATGGGGTTGGGCTTGAAGACAGAGGTGCTTCTCTGACCTGCACATCTGTGGTTGCAGCTATGTCCCAGCCATTGTTACCTGCAGGGGAAGGAACTACCTCCTTCAATTTGTTTTAAGATTTCTTTTAACCTTCAAGGGGCATCGGGAGCCGTTTTCATCTCTTCCCGATGGAGACAGATTTCCAGGGTGAGGCGAGCCTTCTAATTATGAGCTTTGGTTGTTCAAAAGCAAAACAAACCCTCACCCAAAACAAGCAAGCTCTCCTGCTTTTCGGGAGAAAAATGACACATATGCATATTCATTTATATGGTAATTATTATTATTTAGCTACACAGGGACTAGAATTGGTAATTTAGAGCACAAAAAGATCGCAGGGAATATCGTTCAGGGAAACATAACCCATCAGGAGTCTGCAGTTAATGCCCTGTTTCCTTTCTTTCCCCTGCTTTTTTCTTCTTTTGCAATCTCTTTGAAGAATTTTATTTGAAGTGACCATCAAATGCATTAGAGAGGGAGAAATTAGCAGTTTGTTTCAGAACTACAAAAAGGTGGCAGCTCAGCCTGCCAGAGATATATGAGGTGCTCCTTAGGGACAGCCATGCCCCCCAGGTCAGAGGGTGCCCACACCACTTCTCCTGGCCAAAGGAGAGCTAAGAAGGAAGGTGTGAGCACTGGGAATAAGAAAGCACTGCATAAGAAAGACCAGAACTGGAGACTCAGAACACGGTACCTGGCCAGCATGTGTGTGCTCTGTTTGCTATGGATGGTTGACAGTCCCTTTCCTGGTCCATCTTTCTGCAAGTTTCCGGGTTCCTTCCCATGGCTTCCTTCATGTGGTTTCCCATCCCCTAGCATCCAGGAAGCTCTGGATTCAATTCCCAGCACTACATTTAAAAATGTGGGGTTGAAGAGATGGCTCAGAGGTTAAGAGCTATTCTTCCGAAGGTCCTGAGTTCAATTCCCAGCAACCACATGGTGGCTCACAACCATCTATAATGAGATCTGGGGCCCTCTTCTGTTGTGCAGGCACACATGCAGGCAGAATACTGTATAAACAATAAATAAATCTTAAAATAAAATAAAATAAAAATGTGCTATGGAGCTGGGCATGGTAGCACACACCTTTAGTCCCAGCACTCAGGGAGACAGAGGCAGCCTGTACAAAGTGAATCCAGGACAGCCAAAGCTACACAGAGAAACCCTGTCTCGAAAAACCAAACCAAACCAAACCAATCAACCAACCAACCAACCAACCAGAAAAACAACAAAAATCAAAAACATGGTAGAAATAAAAATAAAAATAAAATGAAAAATTTTTTTTGGCCATAGTATATCCATTCAAATAGTTCAGAACTTAGAAGATACCAGAGGCCCTTCTCTTGCTCCTCCCCCCCTCCCCCATTCCTTCTCTAAAGACAGCTATTGGGAAACGTGCCTTGGAAGCTCATCCTTCAGAAGATGCTGCTATACACAGGGGAAACAGGTGTTTCTTTAAAACAAATATGAATCTGGGCATGCGCACATCTGTAACCCCAGCACTGGTAGGGCCGACACCAGCAGATCCCTGATGCTTACTAGCCTATGAGTCTAGCAGAATCAGCATGCAGGAACGGGAGCCCCCGGTCACACAGCAGAAACAGATGCACGCCATCCCAATCTGAATGGGGCAGGAAGGGAGTTCCTCCTCACTTGGCCTTCACTTCAGTGTGTGCCAGCCTCTGGTTTCACATGAGTGACACAATGTCTTCCTTGTGACATGTGTTGGTCAACAAGCACAAGTCTTTCCCATGCCCTATGGGAGGAGAGACGAGGGCATCCTTGCATGAAGTCATTTCCTCTCTTCCACATATTTCCCAGCCTTTGGCTGTCCTCCTGGGTCTGCTTCTGATGATAGAACAGGGCTTGACACAAGTGTGTGGAGCCACAGCAGCTGACCTGAAGCTCTGTTGTGGTGGCCTGGAAAACATCCTCAGTTCTATCCCTCTGGCCCTCACACCACAGTCAAGGCCCTGCTGCTGCCCAAGCCTCAGCTCCTCTCCTCCAATTATTTGTTCATCCGTATGTGTGTACTATGGTGTTTGTGCTCACAGGCATGTGTGTGCACATGTGTGTGGAAGCCAGAGGTCACCCTCAGGTGTCTTCCTCAGTCACTCTTCACATGATGGTGATGATTGGTGTGTATATGCACATGAAGGTGCCAGTGGACTCCAGAGGAGGACATTAGGTGCTCTGGAACGGGAGTTGTAGGCAGTTGTGAGCCACCTGATGTGGGGCTGGGGAGTCCCCTGGAAGAGCGGCAGGTGCTTAACCGCTGAGCCATCTCTCCAGCCCTTCCACCTTCTGAGACAGGGTCTTTTGCTTTTGCCCAGAATTTGCCTGTCTGTGCCCTCCTGGCACTGGCATTGCAAGTGTGTGCTAACACACTCGGGCTGGTAGGGATCCAGCCCGAGTCTTCATGCTTCCAGCTACAGAGCTGTCTCAGCAGCCCCAGTTTCCCTTTGTGTAAAGGTTTTAGGTAGATAATTTCTGAAAAAACAAACAAACAAACAAACAAACAAAAACTTCTATAAAAAGATATAGTGAGAAAGGAAAGTCAGTGTCTTGCTATGAAGAGACACCATGACCACGGCAACTCTTATAAAGGAAAGTGTGTGGTTGGGCTGGCTTACAGCTTCAGAGGTTTAGTCTATTGTCATCATGGTGGGAAGCATGGCAGTGTGCAGGCAGACATGGTGCTGGAGGAGATGAGAGTTCCACATCTTGATCTGCAGGCAGTAAGGAGAGACTGTGTCACTGGCCATAGCTTGAGCATAGCAGACCTCAAAGCCCACCCCCACAATGACACACTTCCTCCAACAAGGCCACACCTGCTAAGAGGCCAGGCATCCCAGCACAGGAGTCTATGAGGGCCATACCTAGTCAAACCACCACAGTCAGTGTAATCCACCTGTGATCCCAGCTCCTGAGAAGCCGAGGTAGGAGGGTTGCTGAGAGACGGCAGCCTGGGCTACAGTATGAGAGCCTTTCTCAAACAAACAAGATACCAAGAAAATGAGTTGGCATTCATCCATAAGGCAGGGTGATGGGCTTCCTTTGTGGCTTAACATCAGCCATATTGATGGTTGAACCTTATTTCTGCTGATGGAAGGAATAAAGAAAAACATCAGAAAACTTCACAGCAAAGGGCACCACATCAGCCTCAAAAGTGGGCTCTGAAGAACTTGAACCCCTGGTCTCAAGATGTGCTGCCACTGCAAGGTGTCACAGTTGAATGTGACCAGGGCATGGGAGACCAAGGGTGAATGAGACTTGCAAACACCAGTGTTGAGAATCTTGAGATTCGAGCCACAGACAGCCTCCACTGCCCATCTAAACCACCCAGGCAGCAGCCACACC